CCCCCGGTCAAGGGTGTCCCTCTTTTCCAATCTGAAAATCTGGTCACCTTACCTTAGGAGCCTGGGGGGGCTTTGGGCCAGACTCACCATATGGAATCATTGGGGTGGGGGAAAAGGAAGAGGTGGGAATGTTAGGCATCTACATCCCCTTAAGTTGATCAGCAGGAAAGGCAAGGTAAAAATTAAATCCATTTGCTACCATTTACTTAGAAATAAATGCACAAAATTCCCTTCTTCTTTGTTCTGCTCTTCTGCCCTTTCCAGCTGGGGGGGAGGAGCTCCCCAAGCAGGCTCCCAAGAGGCAGTTCTCCCCCCCCCCAAGTTCTGCCCCTCCCCAAACATGACAAGCCATGTTCCCTCTTCACTTCCCATTCCAAATAGTACTTCCTGGGACAATGACGCCTCCATAGTGCAAGAATTTCCCCTTACAGCTTCCCTTCAGGAGCACCAATGCCGAATTTCTTTCCACCCCATTTCCTTGGCAGGATCCCCTGTGCAGTGGATGGCAGCAGCGCAGAGCTCAGAGTGTTCGCGCTGCGCTGAGCCCCAAATGTGGGATCTGTCTCCCACTTCCAGCTCCTTCCTATGGGCTACACCTCCTCCTTCCCAACAAAACTGGTAACTGCACTCGCAGCTCTGGTGGCTTTCCCGCAAGCAAGAGGCCAAGAACCAGAGTAGGGAGGCTGGTGTCTGGCGGCAATCCTTTGGCCATGCCCAAGAAGGCAGCAAGCTGGCACGGATCTAGAAATCTCTCCACGTGGGCCTGAAGAGCAGAGACAAGGCGTGGCTGGGTCATAAGCATTGAAAGAAAATGGATGGTTGAAAGAAATCATTTCATTGTAATGGGATGATGCCGCTTTATAAGGGATAATCTGTGCCATAAACTTATCACTTCTATCCCTAAGATTCTCAGACCTTCACCAAGATAATGCAATTAGGCAAAGAAGAGGAGATTTTCAGAGAAACATTATATTGTTTTGAATATAGACTGGATCCAATAATTCTCTTTCAGAATGCCATTCCATGGTATTTCTTGTTTTGACTGGTGACCATTTATTGTATACCAAAGCTCTGAAGAAACAGACTGTTGATAAACATTTTCATTCAGAATGGAGTAGATAATACTGATTAGGTTTTTGTGTGTGTGGAGCAGGGATGGGTTCCTGTCAGTTCTAACCTCTTCTATAGAAGAGGTTCCACAAATCTACAGTGCCTTTTAGAACCGGTTCCAGCTCCCTCTCCCTGTCCGTCTGCACATCATCAAGATTAAGAGCAAGAGGAGGAATTCTGGGAGTTGAAATCCACAAGTCTTAAAGCTGTCAAGTTTGAACAACCCTGGTTTTTTTCCCTAAAGGGTTAGGGGTGCAAGGGTCTTGTAACTTGACAGCTTTAAGACTTGCGTGTTTCAAATGCCAGTGTTTCTGAGCCAACATTTTGGTTGCTAAGCAAGAGCGTTGTTAAGTGAGTTTCACCAAATTTTACAAGTTGGCCATGGCCACCCAGTCACATTGCTGGAAAGCCATTCCCACTTGGTCACATGGCTGGCAAGCCACTCCCACAAAGCAGGCCACACCCACAGAAGAGGTTCTAAAATTTTTTGAAACCCACCACTGGTGTGGAGCCACCAGAAAAGAGCCACTTTTCTGCTGCATTATGATTGTTTTTTTATTTTTTAAATACAAATAACACAAACATAGTACGTATATCTGAATATAAAAAAAGAAAGAAAAAGGAAAAAAATGCATATTACAGTGCACCCTCACCTCCCTGGAGACCGGTTTTCCCCCTTATATTTCTTCATCTATAACAACTAAAATATATGCAATATATTCCAATTGTGTCCTGATCCCCTCCAAAACAACATATATTCTTGAGTGGGTTTATTCCTTTTGCCATCAAGCAACACTGATTTTATAAAGTCCCCCCCATATTTCATTATAATTATTTGCTTTGGTCATCCCTTTTTTAAATTTAAATTTTAAATTTAAATTTTAAATTTAAATTTTAAATTTAAATTTTAAATTTAAATTTTAAATTTAATTTCTGTTGTTAATTTATCGTATTCAAAATTTCTTTATACCACTCATTTCTTTGAATATTCCAATTTTGTCCCCAATATTTGGCCATCACTAATCTAGCTGCCATTTTCAAATTTACAATCAATTCCTTTTTTGTTTCATTTATATTCCATTTTTCACCAGCAACAGTAATGCAATTCTTGGTGACTTGTCAAAATTTACATTCAAAAGTGTTGTGTTATGATTGCAAATTAACTCTAACCTATAGGAAAATTGAGTTTTATTTATGCTATTGTGGATTATTCAAGTAGACAGTTTTTCATCTATTACGCACTGCAAACTATGTAAGAAGAATACCTGGATTTTCTATTTGACAAATGTTCACAACTTATTTTGCTCTGCTAACTCCTGGAAAATCTTAACAAATAAGTACTGCATTGGAAGAGTTAATATACCATATGGCTTCTGCTCATTTACCAGAGAAAGTATGTGTATTTGCAATTCAGTGGCCAAAATGAGTTGATATTTCTATTTGTTGTCATTCAGCATTTAAGCATTTTATGAACTGTATACTGCAGCATCAGGAAATTTATTTTGGCAAGTCAAGTTTTGGCATATCAGTAGAAACATCAATGATAAGAGTACATATGGGTTTAGAGCATCTTGGAGAATTTGGAAAGGTGATGGAGAAAATAATAAGAAAAATTGTGCTGATTCCATCAATATATTCTTGTAGAAGGAAGATAGTCTAAAAATAAAGGCTTTCAGTCTGTTAAGGCACATTTGTTCACTGAAAATGAACTACCATTACACTAGGATACCACAGAGGAAAAAAAGTACAAAGTCTATTAAAACTCTATTAGAGTTTCTACGCATTGAAATGTCAATATTTTGGTATTTGGAAACCATTCTGAAAAGCAGGTTAACTCTAGGATGATATGCATAAAGTGTCAGTTATGCATCAAAGTCTTCATATTTGGGGTTATCTTTTTTTCTACAGCCCAGTATTGGGATGGGGGTAGGGATATATTTATTACTGAAGAAGATAGAAAACAAATCCCTTCAGTCATGATAAATATGTTGATTTTTTTAGATATTCTACATGGAAAATTATTCCCATTCTTGCAATTAGTATAATATCTATAATTAAATTAGCTGATTATGAAATTGCAGTTTGTTTTCAAAGATAAACTTTCAGTCAGTGAAATATTGGATAAATTTAACCTTAGCATTAAAGGAAGGGATGGGGATATCTGTTTGTCAATATGAGCTGAATATTCAATAATTGGAGTTTTAGATTGGCCAGAAGACTGTTAATCATTTACTATTGGAATAACAGTAATTAAAATTCATTCTGCTTGTATGCTGCTGAATCAGTGGAGATTCCAATGGCTGCTTTGTAGATAAAAGAATATGCAGAGAGAATATTTTTCCACTGACTTCAAAATGTTGGTAGGAGCGATGCTTCTGTTAACTCTGCTTCCATACACAGCATATGAAGCTCTTACAGCAACATGTAATGTCCAGTATCCAGAACACCCACTTCACAGCTATTGTCAATCTGGAGATCTCATTATTGGTGGTATCGCATCTCATGGTATCTACCTCTCCTATGCCAAAGATTTCATAAAGGAACCTCCACCAGCTATGCCTGAGGAACTTACGTAAGAAATTCACTTTAGTCTGTATGTGCATTTATGTTAATTAGAATGCCAGATGATGTTATAGGAAATTGAAGAAACTTTAGAAACTAGGCAGACAATTTCCATTGTCCATAAGTAAGGTGTGGAATTTTTTAAAGATATGTATGATTATTGGAACTATCATGTAACATGACAATATAAGAATTTGAGTGTATGAATGTTACATTATATTTAATATTACTCCAAAGTAATATACATCTTCTATAAGCTACAATAATAAATGTAATAAATGCTGCAAAATGTTTCAGAACTATAAAACATTATCTGACACTCATTCTAGAATACTTCCCAAGAATTACCAACACATCCTGGCTTTGGCCTTTGCAGTAAAGCAGATTAATGAAAACCCTCAGATTTTACCGAATATCAGCTTGGGATTTCATATTTATGACAATTATTACAATGCAAAATGGACATACCATTCCACAATGCTGCTTATATATACACTTGAACAATTTTTCCCAAATTACAATTGTAACATGCAGAATAAGCTTCTTGCAGTGATTGGTGGACTGGATTCTCTTACTTCTCTTGATATGGCAATTGTTCTGGATACCTATAAGATTCCTCAGGTAAAGTTTGCAAATGAAGTTTAACACTTCTTTTAACATTTCTTTGATTTGGTGGGTCTACTTTTGTTCTTTCAGTATCCTGGAATCAGCTTACATAATTAAGATATCCAAGGATAGTTGTAAAGTGTTTTAAACCTGGAACCATGGAGAAGGTGTGTTTCATCAATGGTTTTCTTTACATAGCAAACAATAACATTTAAATCCATATAAAAACACTAACAGGCAGAAGACTGGCAGAATGCAGCCACGAACATTACCTAGAAGTCAGAAGACATAATGAAAACTCTTTAATTTCACAACATATAGCAGATTTAACCATAGTTTCAGTTGGGAAAATGTGATCATCCCAGACTAAGCCATCAGGGAATTTCTAGAAGACTGGCACTTTGACAATTCAGCCATCAATACACACACCAATAAACAAGATCTATATTCTATGGTAAGAGACAATCAACCACCCAAAAAAGGGAACAAAAAACCACAAGCACCTTTCCACCAGCAATCAGCACCCATATCAGCATAGATTAACTCCAAGATTACCATCAGACCAACAATCAAGTAAACAATACCCCAATCAAGAAACTACCAAATAAGCAAACAGCAAACATCCCACCCAAAGAATCAATAAGACCATCACCCTTACCAACACTGACAGGGGAAGGCACTAGAATATAAACTGAGAACTAAACCCAACTCCTTACCAGCAAATGATGATGTTACTTTAGTTAGCATAATGGAACATCTTCAAGAAAACAAGCAAGATCTTGAAGGACCCTTCATTTCAACCCTGATTACAAATATTCTCCTTTATTGTTACTGAAAACTATCATCTTTATGAACCAATAAGAACAATGCAAATTAATGCAGGATGTGATATGGGTCCAATTGTAATTGTTCTTTTTCACCTTTCATGGATGTCTTTAGCTCACCTATAGTCCCACTCCAGTGAAGAAAGACAAATCTTCTGGTCTTCCTTTCTACCAGATGGTTCCTAAGGAAGAGCTTCAATATGAAGGGATTCTGTCTCTACTTTTACACTTCAAATGGATATGGATTGGGGTGGTGGTTATGGATACTGACAATGGAGAGAGATTTGTACAAACAGTGATACCCATGTTTTCCCAGAAGGGCATTTGCTTTGCATTCGTACAGAAAATCCCTGTTATAACTTTTATTACTAATATCTCTGAAATACTGTATAAAGGGAAGATGATTTATGATATATTGACATGTAGTAAGGCTACGGTGATACTTGTTTATGGTGAATCTAATTCATTCGGATTTTTTAGAATACTCTCTTATCAATCAGAGGAAGATGTAGATAGTAAGCCTAGGAAACCCTTAGGAAAACTATGGATCATCACAGCCCAAATGGAGATTGCATCCTTTGTATTTCAAAGAGATTGGGATTTAGACATGTTTCGTGGCTCTCTAGCTTTCATGTTTCATTCCAGGGATGTACCTGGATTTCATCAGTTTATAGATAATCGAAACCCTTTCACTACAAAAGGAGATGGTTTTTTCAAAAACTTCTGGGAGCAGGTCTTTGGCTGTGTATTTCCAAGTACATTTGTGGATGAAATGGAGGAACCTTCTTGCACTGGAGATGAACAACCCGAGAACCTCTCTTATACCATTTTTGAAATGAGCATGTCTGGCAATAGCTACAGTGTCTACAATGCTGTTTTTGCTATAGCCCATGCTTTACATGCTATGCACATAGCTGGATTCAGACACAGGACAAAGATAGAGGGTCAACTGAAGCTACATAACCAACCAGTTTGGCAGGTAAATGTGCTTGTAATATTCTATAGTCCTAATTCCAGGTTCTCTTCACGGTCATACAGTTTCCTTTACATTACATAGTATAATGTAATTTAATTCAGTTGAAATGTCTCTGCTACAATGTATAAATTCATGAAAAATAATTACATCTCCAATCACTTTCAACACACTCTGAAACTCTGACATGGAACCTTACCATTTTAGCCACAGGTATACTTAAATGTCAGCCATCTATTAGTTCTCAGCCTAGTATTAAACACAACTGGCTTTTAGTGCCCTTGTATAAATCTAAAACTGAAATGAAGACAAACCAGGATTAGTTCTCAGTGGTCAGAGAACAAGAGTGGGGTTGCAATAAAAATGAGTCAGCATTTCAAACATAGATTTTCCCCTACTGTTTTATGAGGAGGGATACTTATATGTATTTGTACGTGCTGCCAGTGATATTTGATGGTATCTGTTTTGATTTTTTTTAAAAAAGAGCAGAATCATTTTGCAAGATTTTCACAAACTGGAATTGTTAGGAGGGATGAATTAAGACAATTAACAGTATTAGCAAGAGTAACAGAAAAAAAAAATAAGTGAATGAAACCAGCCATGGAATGTTTTATCTGCACATATATTTTGATTCACAGGATTTTCTACATTAATTGGTTTTCCTCTCTCCTTTTTTTTAAAATTTTAGCTCCATCCATTTTTGAGACAGGTCATGTTTAATAATAGCATTGGGGACAAAATCACCTTTGACCCAGATGGAATGTTAGTGGATGGGTTTGATATAATAAATTTTATTCTTTCCGAAAAACAGTCAAAAGTGAAAATTGGAAAGATAGGCCCTCAGTCTCCTGTACACCAAACATTCATAATTGAGGAAGATGCCATAAGATGGAACAGTAGGTTTAATCAGGTAGGTTTCAGGAACAGAAGGTCTGGAAATTTTGAATCTGTATATGAATTTTGAAATTGGTTGGTTAGTTGTTAAATTGGTTGTTAACCTGTTAAACCATCTGATTCCTGGTTGGGCAATATCTTGGGTAGGTTGTTGATATTGTGCAGGGCAGGTAACTTGATTTTGCTAATATTCAGACTTTCTTCTTTCTTCTTAAAGCTATTGGGATGTATAGCAGACCATTTTGCCTGTGAAAATGCCAGCCACATTTGTTGATACCATTTATTTTCCGGACTATGGTCACTAAACCCTGAAGCCCAACATTTCCCAAAGCTTGTTACATCGTTACAAAGCAACAAAGCTTTTTTACTGTATTATTATGACAGTATGCTGAAAAAACTGTACATTTATGTAACCTTGCTAAAGAGAACAACCACAGCTCAGAATCACAGTACTAAAAAATGATTGCTTTCTTTTATGTTGGTTTTGGTTCATAAATTAGACTACTCCTGTTTCCCTATGTACACCTAGCTGTAATCCAGGTTCTAGGAAGCAAGTAACAGAAGGGAGACCATTTTGCTGCTACTCTTGTATCTCATGTCCCGAAGGGAAAATTGCAGAAAAGGAGGGTAAGGATAATATTTTTTTTCAGTTGCATAGTTGTTTCCAAATCTTCATGAGCTGATGAATATCATTTTGTAAGACCTACCCGCAAATAGCTGTCAGTCATGAAAATATTTGGATACAGTTTCTTCTGTTACTCACTTTTTCATTGTTATTCAATTCATTTTCCCTAAGATCAAGGCCTATTTTAGTGATTCTTGCCTTCCTGGATTCTTGCCACATTACATGTGCAAATATTTTACATTTAGCTTTGTTTCAATAGCTTCTAGTGAACAGTTTGGTTTTACTTTTCTAATCCTGGATATCTTTTCTATTTCAAAGAATTTTCTTGTGCTCAGCATTGGACTTTTTAATGGTCTCCCAATTTTTTAATGTTCTAATTTTTTTTATTTATAATTAGCATTCTATTTAAGTTTCAATTTCTCAGGTATGTTATAATTTCTTTTTCATTTTAAGTAAATATTCAATCAAATAAATGGATAAGTAACCATTTTAAACACTTTTTTTAAATTTTGAAAGGGTGCAATCAGGTATTTTAATGGTTACGAATGGTTCTGATTTGAGAAAACTCATTCAGGACTGCTATTTTGTTGTTATTTGATTGCAAAACACATCTTTGGTTTGTAACAACTACCTGTTTAAAATATGCAGCATACTTAATGTGACTCCTTAGTGTTAGGTGCATTATATGCAGGGAGGTTAATAACCACTAACTGGTGGCTATGACTAGGTAATCAAAACTCCATCCTTTTTTAAATGCATGCAGTTCATGCCTTAACCAGCCAGTCATAAATGCAATTTTGATGTTGATTATTACCCTCACCTGTCCTTCCTTGATATCTAACCATGCTTAGAACACAACAGGTACAGATATTATAAAATCAATGAGAAATAATTAGGACAACTTCTGTTCATTCTGTAGTTGGCTTCTGCAAATTGAGAAGCCTCTCTTACATCAGCCTTCAATCACTGAATGATTTGGATTCAAGATAATGGACCAAATCCAACTGATATTTATCCCAGTTGATCAGCTAAAGACTACTGTAGTAGTAATTGACTTACAATCACAATTGGAACCACAATTTCCATTGCTAAGCAAGATGATTCTTAAGTAAGTCATACCCAATTTTATGATCTTCTTCACCATGGTTGTTAAGTGAAATGATTCACTCAACACCACAGTTGTTGAGTGAATCATTTGGTTGTTAAGCAAATGCAGTTTCCTCCATCATCTTGGCTTGTCAGAAGCCACCTGGGAAGGTTTCAATAATGATCACATGGCCCAAGGGTACTGCAACCATTATAGCCATGTTGGTTGCCAATTCCTGAATTTTGATTGCATGACCATGAGGTTGCGGCACAGGTCTTAAGTGCAAGAACTGGTTATAAGCCACTTTTTAAAAATCCCATTGCAACTTTGAATGGTTGCTTGTAAATTGAAGATTACCTGCATAACTAGAATTTGGATATCACAAATATCAGTTTATAACAAATAATAAGAATTTTCTACCCTTTGCCACCATCCAGTGGCCATTTATATTTTTTCAGCCCAGATATAGAAGCCAAAATTCCACAAATTACTATAAAGTAATTACAAACTGCCAACATTTTTAAATGTTAAAATTGTAATTTATTGTGAGTTTTGCTTTTTGTATGCTAGGATTGTTGCATATAATCAAAGTATATAGATATGGTTTATCTTACCATGTCCCCATTGAGCTACAAGTATATACCCTAGCTCTCAGTCCACAGTTAGTCTCCACATCCTTCCATTTAAAGTTGATAGTTTCACATTTTCCTGAAATGTTTGGCACCAGGTTTTCTTTGGACTTTCTCATTTTCTCTGACCATCTGGTGGTATCAGATTGATAGTAGTCTTTGTTGGACATTGCTCCCTAATGGTTTATAGCCAATATATAAATTGTTTTCTTCATTGCTGAATATGGAAGAGAGACTCATCAGTTATTCACTTATGTAAGAAATAACAAAGGTTATGAATATTTTTGCATAGTTTGAGACTTTGACTATATATTTTCTGTTTTAGATTTGAATGACTGCTACAGCTGTACAGATGAAAAATATCCCAGCAAAAACCAGGATTCATGTATTCCCAAGGACATAAGTTTCTTGTCCTATAAAGACCCTTTGGGAATCAGTTTAGCCTGCTTTTCTCTTTTCTGTTCCATAATCACAATTCTGGTACTAAGGACATTTCTAATGCATCACAACACTCCCATTGTCAAGGCCAGCAACCGGGATCTTACCTACATGCTCCTGATCACCCTC